CTTGCTTCCTTGCTTCCTTGCTTCCTTGCTTCCTTGCTTCCTTGCTTCCTTTTCAGAGATATCACTTTACTTTGTATTTTTCAGAGATCTCCGTGAGAATCGAATCCAAAGCATCAATAACTCGACTTTTACGTCAATCATAAAAATCAAATATTTGTAAGTATGTTTTAAAGAATCTCTGAGCCACCATTGTTTGAAGCAGCCAAGGAAACGCACACATGCACGTGACCAACAACTAAACAAATGCACTACAGGAAAGTGAACAACCATCAGGCTATTTCTGTTTGAATGTAGATAAAAATTTTGTTATGTATATCATCCTTTGTTTTCTTTAACAGGTATCTTAATGATAACAACATAACATTTCTTTCACCGTCGGCCTTCTCAAGACAGTCTGCATTGCGTGATCTGTAAGTAGTTTTCAAAATACTGCCAAAGGCCCCTTTCGGGTTCAATAAACAAGGTGCACTTTCCACATAAGTTACAATGAGCAAAAGATGTTCTCACCGAAGCTAGTCAATTAAGAATGTACCAAGTTAGCTGTCTCAGAAAAGGCCTGTGACAAAAGACTGAAACCAATACATAATCATAAGAAACACTAGGATACCAGTATGAATGGCACTTTCTTTTTGTTTACCTCAGAGGAGTGAAACAGGGAATTTTAAAGGGGGGAGCATCATATTATTCAAAAAAAGAAGAGTTGCCGATACTTCTGTTTTTAGAACAAATGGTGCAATTTTTTTCTGATATATGCTAAACAAATTTTAAGAACATTGACAAAATATGTTTCTAATTGTATGGCTGAATTTATACTTTTAGTAACGTGAGCAGCAACCCACTAAAAGTTCTGAGGAACGGGTGCTTCAAAGGACTGAAAAGACTGGGCAATCTGTAAGTGTAAAAAATAAATGGGCGCGTGCTGAGTCGAGGAGAAAATATGATAATAAAATAACTGTTCTAAATCTCGCTTTCTGGACGGTTGGGAGCGCATGCTTTATGAGAGCACATAGCACGCTCGCGTACTTTCAGTTTCGTCATTCATGTTATTGGTATTTTATAAAAGAAAAAAAAAACTTGCTTGCTGTGCTGTGTGTAGTTATAAAGCAATAGGGGGTTTGCAGAACATCCGAGAAGTGTCGAGAAGAACTCTGCTACGCGTCGTGCTTCTCCTAACACTTCTCTCGTGTTCTGCCAACCCCCGCGTGCTTTATGACTCCACACAGCTCGCGCGCGCGTTTTCTATTTAAGGAATATAAAACGGCGCGTGTCTATATACTGTGATATAAACACCATGGAAGCTGTAGAGCATGAGAGAAGTCGTAGAGAAACACGAGGCGTAGCCGAGCAAGAAAATCATTGTTTCTCTTAGAAAAATTAAAGTAAAGTAAAGTACCTATATTCAACGTCGGTAGTTCCTTCAGCTTAAATTCAACTGCTATCAACGTAAGCCGACGGTGCGCACTTTACCCCCTCTCTTTTTAATTGGAATACAGAGAAACAAACCTACTCAAGTGGAAATTCAATAATGGTTTGTAATGTTTGTTACTAACAGGCACCTAAAGAATTGCTCCATACACGTTATAGAAGAGGGTGTTTTCGACGACGTGAGCTGGTTGACTCAGCTGTAAGTATAGCAGTTATATTCAGATTGGCTTTTGTTTGGCAGTGAAAGCTTAGTACCACGCCCATCGGGACAAACCTCAGGTACCTTTTAGGGGTCATTTTCATTGATACTAACAGGGGAGAGCGGAGCTGAATTCAAAACCCGGGACAGGTTTTCCATCGAAATTCAAACCCTACATCAAACATTAGAAAAGGGGGTGGTTGGTCATTAAACCAGTTAAACGCACGTGCTGTGGTTTGAATTGAAATTCAAGACCGAGGGCCGCAGACCGCTTTTCATTGCAAACCCTCGCGCCCTAGCGTTTTAACCTTTAATAATTACTGATCTTATTAAAATCCATTGTTTTCAGTCTGCATTATCCCAACGAATGCATAGAGAAAAATCAGACATATTTAGTTCATTCATTATTGGCTTTGTTTCTATGACAAACAAGCTAGAAAGAAAACAATTGGATTTTGATAAGAACAATAATTATACTAGATAATCACTTCGGCACGCAGCATTCGTAGGTATAATGCAGGCAACTTCGGGCTACGCCCTCAGCTGCCTGTATTATACCTACGAATGCTGCGTGCCTCAGTAATTATCTATTAACTAATGACTTCAAGTGGAGAACAGAATTACATGTCCTTGAGCCCCTTTCCGGCTTTTATTTATCCTACTTGGTATTCATTATTGCTATATAGCGGTACTAAAGGCACCCATCAGTATATTATGAGTATTTTCTGTTTAGTATTTTGCTAGAACTGTTAGAAATAGATTAACAAGGTAATGAGAAATGCTGGTGTAAGACATCAAGCCCTGTGATACACCCGGTTCTCTTTAAGAGGAAGCATTATTTATATGTTTCTGATCATTTCATGTATAAAAATGTTTTATTAACGTATCATGTCGTAATTTAGGGAAATCAGCTTCAATAACATCAAAAATATCACTTCTCGAACGTTTGCAAAGCTTCGACGTTTAATGATCTTGTGAGTAAAACCGGCTGTAACTTCATTTCTGCTACTAATGCAATCAGTTTTAGTATATTATATCATGTAAAATATCTATCCATAGAGGATTTGCACCATCACGTGATGGCAGCCATGACAGGAGGCAGGAACAATAGTCCACTTCATAGTTCCCTGCGCCATCTTGAAAGGTAGCCGTGCCTTTGAAATCGAAGTGAAAAGAACGATGAGCTTTGCAACGATAGATATGTAAATTGTCCAAGGTGTTAAAAAAGGTCTCAACCGTTGCAAGCTCACCGTTCGTGCGCTTTAATTTCAATGGCATGGCTACCTTTCAAGATGGCGCGAACTGTGAAGAGGACTATTGAATTAGGTTTGAATTAGGAATTGGTTTAATCTGATGTAGATGAGATATAATTCGTTTTTTCAGGGAGAAAAGACTGTTGTGCCTCCTGTCATGGTTACCATCACGTGATACAATGAGTGTCAGGTTTAATTCTCATGTTCAAACTGTTATTGCTCTAACAAAATTACAAATATAAGAGTAAATATAGGAGTAATATATACAATATGAGTGGCCGTGTTGTATCAGATATACAACCACGAGTCGAAGGCGAGTAAGAAAATTGGAGTTAAAGTTTATGCAAATCAGGACGATTTTGTATCATATTTACAACCTCCTCCACGGACAATGATTTCTATTGTGTTTTCCTCATTAATTATTCATGAGGTTTATAAATTAGAGTAACAAAGAAATCAGATCTTTTACTGTTTTTATGTTACCAGGAATCTTGGTAGAAATGAAATTGATTATCTTCATCCTGAAACATTTAAAGGCAAAACATACATTTTACGATTGTAAGTATTGTAATCGCGCGCTCTGACTGCTTAATTAATTGCACGTGATCAAGTACTCCAATTTAGTCCGTAAATACATCCATTCGCTTATTAGAGTTTATCGATGCGCCAAATCCTGCATGGGTATGCTTGGCAAGTCTAAGTTAAATTGTAGGTCGACGCAGAAGGATAGCATTCTATTGGCTATGCCCTCGCGCAGCTCGTATACCCGTTCTTCCCCGCAAAAATATAACTTAGCAATTACCCATCGTTCTTTTAATCTTGCGATAACTTTTTCTCTTATAGATATTTGAACAGCAATCGTCTTTCAAGGATCCCAAAAGGGCTGTTTGATGATCTATATCGATGTCAATTTATGTGAGTGTACCTGTAATCTTCCCGCTTCCTGTATCTATCTGAATTCCTCATGTCCATGCACCTTTAGCCTAGGAAGGAAGGATTCCTTCTGCTTCCTGCTTCATGTATCTATCTGGGTTCCTCATGTCCTTGCACCTT